AGCTTTTCAGCTCAAGGCTAGCACTCTACCACTTGAGCCACAGCGCCACCTCCGGCTTTTTTCTTTTTGCTTATATGGTGCTGAGGAATCGAACTCAGGGCCCCAGGCATGCAAGGCAAGCACTGTACCACTGAGCCACCTTCCCAGCCCAGATAGGTTTACTTCTTTCTTTCCAATTTGGATGCCTTTCATTTGTTTTTCTTGCCTAATTGCTCAAGCTAACATTTCTAACACAATGTTCAGAGCTGTATTGAAAATGGGCATTCTTGCTGGGCACAGGTGGCTCATACCTATAATCCTAGCTACTCAGGATACTGAGGCCTGACAATTGCAGTTCAAAGCCAGCTGAGACAGAAAAGTCCATTAGACTCTTATCTGTACTTAACCATCAGAAAACTGGATGTGAAGCTGTGGCTCAAAGTGGTAGAGCACTAACCTTGAGCAAAAAGATCTCAGGGACAGTGCCTAGGCCCTGAGTTGGAGCCCCATGGCTGACAAAAAACAAAGAACGAGGAAATGCACATTTTTTTCCTTACTCCTGATTGTAGAGGAAAGTTTTCAATCTTTTCCACTTGGTAAAAGATTGTTCCTGTGGATTTTAAATTAAATGAGTCTTATGTTGAATAAACTTATTTATACTACTAGTTTTCTGAATTGTTTTGTCATGGAAAGTTTTGGATTATGGAAAATACTTTATTCTGCATCAACTGAAATGATCATTGTAGGTTTTCTCCTTTGTTCTATTAATGTGGTATATTTTATTGATAATAGTGGTTTCTAGATTTCTCCTTGTAATACCTTATCTGGCGTTGTCATCAAATGATAGTTGTCCTCATAGAATTAGTTAGGGAGTGCTTCTGTCATTTTCAGTTTTTTGACTAAGAAGGGTTAAAGTGTTAGTAGAAGTCACCATGGTGCCATCTGGTAGTAGACTGTTTCCTTTCTTGCCAGTGTAGGATTTTGAACTCAGAGCCTCCTGCTTGTGGCTGGTGCTCTGCCACTTAGACTACACCTCCAGTTACAGCTTTTTGCTGCTTAATTGGAGATGGAGGTTTTTCTACCTTGGGTAGCTTCAAACTGAGGTCATTCCAGGTCTCAGCCTCCTTAATGGCTAGGATTATATTTGTGAGCCACCAGTGCCTGGCTAGTAGACATTTTTTTTTTTTGTGGTTTTTGCTTTCTGAATGAAGTTTTGCTTGGTTTACATTTGTTTAGACTCTATCTCCTTTTTTTTTTTTTTTTTTTTTTTTTCGGTTGTGGGGCTTAAACTCTGGGCCTGGGCGCTGTCCCTCAGCTCTTCAGCTCAAAGCTAGTGCTCTACTACTTGAGCCACAGCAACACTTCCAGTTTTCTGGTGGTTTATTGGAGATAAGAGTCCCATGGAAATTGTAACTCCTCTGTATGGTATTCTCATAATAAAAAATTAAAAAAAAAAACAAAAAACGAGTCTCATGGAATTTCTTGCGTGGGCTGGCTTTGAACTCTGATCCCCATATCTCAGCCTCCTGAGTAGCTAGGATTACAGGGTGAGCTACTGGTGCCTGGCTCCTTTTTCTCTATGAAAGAAATAAATTTAGGTAGTAATTATAAAGGCATTTGGCAGTAAAACTCCAAATGTCATTTCTGATTTTAGCTGTTTCTAAAACTACTTTTTTTTCTTACGATAGTTAAAAGTTTGTCAATTTTGTTGATATAAAAAAAATACAGGAGGGCTGGGAAGGTGGCTCAGTGGTAGAGTGCTTGCCTTGCATGCATGAGGCCCTGGGTTTAATTCCTCAGCACCACATAAGCAAAAAGAAAAAAGCTGGAAGCAGTGCTGTGGCTCAAGTGGTAGAGTGTTAGCCTTGAGCTGAAGAGCTGAGGGACAGCACCCAGGCCCAGAGTTCAGGCCCCACGACTGGACCTTCCCCCCCCAAAAAAAATACAGGGGTAGCTGGGTGCTGGTGGCTAATATCTGTAATCCTAGCTACACAGGAGGCTGAGATCTGAGGATCATGGTTCAAAGCCAGCAGGTGCAGGAAACTCCATGACACTCTTATCTCCAATAAACTACTCACGAAATCAGAAGTGGTGCTGTGGCTCAAAGTGGTAGAGTGCTAGCCTTGAGCTGAAGAGCTGAGCCCAGGCCCAGGGTACAAGCCCCATGCCCAACAAAACAAAACAACAACAAAAAATACAGGGTTAGAGATTTAGGTCAGTGAAAGAGTGCTTGTCTAGCAAGTACAAGGCCTTAAAGTTTGGTCCTCAGCACCACAAATAAATAAGACCAAATAAAACACAGCAGTTTATCTAATTGATTCTCTGTTGTTTTTCCATTTTCTGTTTTCTCTAATCATTTCTTTTTGTTTGTTACCTTTCCTTCCTTTTATTGGCTCTTTTTCTAGTTTCTTAAGTTATACAATTAAGTTTTCTATCTATCTGTTTATTTATTCTTGTGCTAGATATTGTATGTGCTAGTACTCTAACACTACATTCTTTTTTTTTTTTTTTTTTGGTCGTGGGGCATGAACTCTGGGCCTGGGCGCTGTCCCTTTGCTCTTCAGCTTAAGGCGAGTGCTTTACTGCTTAAACTACAGCACCACTTCCAGTTTTCTAGTGGTTTATTGGAGATGAGTCTCACGGACTTTTCTGCCTGGGCTGGGAACCGTGATCCTCAGATCTCAGCCTCCTGAATAGCTAGGATTACAGGCATGAGCCACTGGTGCCCGTCTCTAACACTACATTCTTAACCTCCTGCTTTTTTTTTTTAGTTTAGTTTTTGTTTCTTTTTTTTGGTCTGGTCATGGGGTCTGAACTCTGGGCCTGGGCGCCGTCACTCAGCTCTTCAGCTCAAGGTTAGCACTCTACCACTTGAGCCACAGCGCCACTTCTGGCTTTTTTTTTTTTTTTACTTATGTGGTGCTGAGGAATCAAACCCAGGGCCTCATGCTTGCAAAGCAAGCGCTCTACCAATGAGCCACTTTCCCAGCCCCTCTTACAAGTACATTTCTTATCAAGCATTGTTGCCTCCTCAAGTGAGAGCTGAGTAGCTATTCAGGATGCTTTCCTTCCCAGTGTATACACTCTCCTTCCCAGCCTCACTTGCAGTTTTTGAGAGGTTAATTGTAGATAGGAGTCTCACGGGGACTTTTCTGAGTGGGCTGCTTTGAACCAGATCCTCAGATCTCAACCTCCTGAGTTGCTAGGATTACAGGCCAGAGCTACCAGCACCTTGGCCTTTTTTGTTTTTGTTTTTTTGTGCTTAAAGAGAATATACTTTGTATGGTTTCAGCTTTTAAAATTTATTGAGACTTATTTTGTGGCAAGATACATGGTTTGTGTGGAGAACGTCACAGTGTACTTAAGAATTCTCCATAATATTCTGCTGCAGTGGAGTCAAGTGGCTTGAATGTATCTTAGATCTTAATTGGCTTAAGTCTCCTATGTCTCTTTGTTCATCTGTATAGATAGTCTATCCATTGTCAACAATGGAATATTGAAGTCTCCAGCTATTATTATTATAGAACAGCCTATTTCTCATTTCAGTCATTTATTAATATATTTTATTTTGGTGTCCTTTGGTGCATGTAATAATCGTTAATTCTCTTGATAGATCAACTCAGCAAAGTATAATATCCTTGTCTGTGTCTTGTTCCATTTTTTATTTTGAAATTTAATATCGATATGGACACTCAGTCCTATTTTGTATACTGTTTACATGAGATATCTTTTAAAAATGTTTTTAATTCCTAGCCTATTTATGTTTTGGGATCTGAAGCAGTTCTTCGGTAAATAACATATAATTGGATCTGGGTCATATATTTAATTTTGCCAACTGTTTTTTGTTTCTCTCTCTCTCTCTCTCTTTCTCTCTCTTACTCCCTTCCCTTCCTCCCTTCCTTTCTTCCTGGGTCATATATTTTATCTTGCCAACTGTTTCTCTCTTTCTCATCTTGCCAATGGTTTTTCTCTCTTTCTTCCTCCCCTCCCTTTCTCCCTTCCTTTCTTCCTTCCTATGTATGTGTGCCCTTGTGTGCCCTGGAGCTTGAACATAGGGCCTGGGCACTGTCCCTGAAGTTTCTTTTGCTCAGGTAGCTCTCTACCACTTGAACCAGAGCTTCACTTCTGGCTTTTTTGGGTACTTAATTGGCAGTGAGTCTCACAGACTCCCTTGCCCAGGCTGGCTTTGAACTGTGATCCTCAGATCTCAGCCTTCTGAGTAGCTAGGATTGTAGGTAGGAGCCATTGACACCTAGCCACTGTTTCTTTTTTTTTTTTTTTTTGCTGGTTGTGGGGCCTGAACTCTGGGTCTGGGCGCTGTCCCTCAGCTCTTCAGCTCAAGGCTAGTGCTCTACCACTTGAGCCACAGCGCCACTTCCAGCCTTTTCTGCTTATGTGGTGCTGAGGAATCAAACCCAGGGCCTCATGCATGCAAGGCAAGCACTCTACCACTGAGCCACCTTCCCAGCCCCTAGCCACTGTTTCTTAAGTAAAGTTTTAAAACACCTACATACCAGTTTGCTTATATGTAGTTTGTGACTATTTTCATGCTACTGGAAAGGAATTGAGTCATGTTAATATTAAGATTATAAGTGGCTTTCTGAGCCTGAAATAATTGGTTTTCATAGGAGAAGTTTGCTGACCCTTGGTCTAGAATGTCCTTTTCTGTTTCCTTGAGTGTAGTTTCCTTGAGTACAGTGTCACATTGCTGTAGGTGAGTGAGAGCTATCACATTAGCCTGCTTTGGGTCTCTTGAAGCTTGGAAATGGGCTCATTTTGATAATCAACGTGGGTACCCCCAAGGCCTTGGCTGGCCAGACAAGGAAGCTAGGGTTGGAGGCAGTGGGGCTGGGATTGTCCCCTCCTTAGCCATGCCATTCATAGGGCAGCCAACTGTCCTGGTGTCCCTGCAACTAAGGCAGTTCTTAGTATATAGGATTCTGGAAAGCTTAGCTAAGCTATACTAGTTGATTGGTCAACCAGCTGATCCTTAGAATCTCATTCGTGCCCCTCTGCCCCAGTACCATTCAGGGAAACCCCCAGCTATGCAAAGCGGCGACGACTGGCTGGCCCCAGTGGCTTGGCATCCCCGCGGCCCCTGCAGCGCTCAGCCAGTGACATCAACCTGAAGGGTGAGGCCCAGCCAGCAGCCTCTCCTGGGCCCTCCCTCCGAAGCCTTCCCCACCAGCTGCTGCTCCAGCGGCTGCAGGAGGAAAAAGATCGTGACCGGGATGGTGAACAGGAGAATGACATCAGTGGCCCCTCAGCAGGCAGGGGCAGCCTGAGCAAAATCAGGTAGGAGAAGGCGGGGAGGTCCTGGAAGGGTAGGCCAGGGTGGGATGCCAGACATCCAGCCAGCAAAGCCAGAACAAGGAAGCAGGGAGAGTTTGTGGCTGGCATCTGTGCAGTGTTGGGTTGGTGTTTGAGGTTGTGGCACAGCCAGGCCCTCAGAAGGGCTTCCTTGGATGGAGTGCGAAAGAATGTGATGCCCTGGAGGCTGGGTCGGCATATTCACACTGATTTATGATTGGAGGTGGGGTTTGCTCTGAGGACACAGGGCAACTGAGAGAGTTTAGGCAGAAGGTGTGGTCCAACCTGTGAATTGCCATGTGTGAGAGAGTGGTAGGATGGAAGGGGATGCCTTTCACTGAGGGCTCAAATCCTGCAGGAGTCTTGGCTTCACCCTAGCCCCAGTCTTCTATACCTGCAGGACTCCACCTCTTACCCTCAAGCCCTGAGAAATCAGGAACATTTGTGGGACTTAGTTTCTCCCAAACTTAAGAGTAGGAGGCATGGATTGGAGCCTGTTAGTCTTTGCAGGCTGCATGGAGGTAGAGGGGAGGGTGAGCACTAGCTCTCAGATGGCCAGTGTGCCAGTCCTGTCGGTGAGGTCTTTCAAGGCATGCATTCCCATGGTGAAGCCCTCCAGGTGGCCTGGGCAGGTGAGTCTGCTGGGACCCACACACACTAGATGTCAGCCAGTGTGGTTATGGGATCTGTGTTTCCTTTGCCTTGGTAGTAGGAGCTGTTTTTCTTACTTCCTGCCTTTTCCCCAGAGCTAGGCACATAGAAGTGTTTGTTAGATGCAAGAGTTACATAAGCAGAGTATTGTTTTCACAATACAGTTTAAATTTTTTAATTGTTAATATAAAGGTGATGTACAGAGAGGGATTACAGTTACATAAGTCAGGTAAAGAGTACATTTCCTTTTAGACAGTGTCACCCCTTCCTTTGCTCTTCACAATGTGGTTTAATAACCCCAGGGCTCCATGTGCCACTGGGCTGTATGACACATGTATGTCATCTCAGTTCTATAACTTAGGACCTGTGACACTCAAGTTGGCTTATACTTGTCCTAAGTCAGAGTTAGGAATCAGCTTATCTGGGTTCAGTTTGATAAAGGTCATAGGGTATGGCAGGAACATATGCAAGGCCTTCCTTTTCTTCATGCAGCAGGTCTTATGTCTGTTTCTACCTAGAATTGTTGGATCCCCGAAAACTGTCTGCTTGCTCCAAATACCAGTTTTCACTTGAAGATTTTTCATAAGCCCCTTGGATTTTCCTAAGCTAGGGCTGATGGCCTGGTGGCTGAAAACATACTTTGCCATTTCATGAGATGGCTACTTGTGAGAGGAGCTGTGTGGTCACCACTGGTCTCTGCTTTAGTGTATTTATTCGCCCTTTCAACCGACAAAAACCCAGGACCTACCTGCATGCCCGGGACTCTAGCTTTCTTGCTCTGTAGGACAGCAGGCTTCTTTCTTCCTCACGAACATTTGTTAGGCCCCATTGTGGTGGGATCCCACACCAGGGTTCTGAGTGGGTTTCAGGGCATGGACACCTGGATCCAGGGCTGAGAGGCAATTAGGTGGACAGTGAATCAGGTATGACAGGGATCTGTAACCCTTAGGAAGAAGTGGCTGGTGAAGTGTGGTGCATGGAGGAGGGAGGGGACTCTGGGTTCAGTTGCCTATGGTCAAGGGGGAAAAATTGCCATTGATGGACCCGGTGGGGCTGCACTGGCTCTGCCGCCCCCTGTTGGCAAAGCTTGGCACAGGATCCCTGGCAGCCAGCCATGTGTGGTCGGCCGGGTCCTGGCCCCAGAAACCTACCAGGGCACTCGGAGTGGAGTCAGTGGAGTCAGTACTTCAGTCGCTGGCCAAATGGGCGGGATGGCAGTAGGTTCTGAGTAGGTAGCCGGTGGCCGGTTCCCAAGTTCCAGAGTGCCTGGCCATTGGTGGAGACAGTGAGTATCTGACTTGGCGTGCCTAGGTGCTAGACCGCAAGCTTTGGAGCCTTGGTACTAGAGAGCAAGCCCTGGAGCTGAGAGCAGGTGGCCTGCGCCTCGGGGCTCAGTGCCCAGGCCCGGAGCAGGCGTCTGGGATGAGAGGACCCAGGCCTGTGGAAGGGCGCCCCGCGCTGGGGTGGGCAGGGCGCGGCGGGCAGGCCAGGCCCACACTGGGGAGCTGGGCCCGGCCACTGCGCCCC